TACTAATTAACGTGGCATTATTTAACTGTACCCAGAAAATTCCAAAAAGAAAGTTCAAATTATTACATGATTACAATTTACGATGTACTACTACTAACTATAGTCTGAAAGAAAGGGGTTGGTTGGTTGGTTGGTTGGTTCATAAAAGTCCAAAAGCTCTGAATACAGCCAAACACACCCCAACAACAAATGAAAACCGAAATTCAAAAAAAATGTAAATAAAATAATGGTAGCTGACAGCCGACAGCGTCCCGTCCCGGCCACGCCATGGTTGAAGGTCCGAGACGCCGAAACAACGGCGAAATACTCACCTCACGCTTGCGTCTCGGGCCGCTCGCTCGCTCGCTCCCCTTAATCGAAACAAAAAAGCTGCGCTCCGATAATCGACGTAGCGTCAGTGGCAGTTTCGAAATTAAAATTAAAAATCAAGTGCATTTTACTACGTCCAAAGTCCAATTGTTCAGGTACACGTGTCCTCAATATCAACAACAAAAATGAGCGGTTGACGATTTCTTTTTCATTTTTTTAACGTAAAGTATATAATTTAATACTATCACTCCCTCGCGTATAATAATTCGTTATTAAATATTAATATTTAAATTTAATTTATTGAAAGTTATTCGAGCAATTCTTTCATCTCTCATATTTTTTGTTTTTTTTTTAAAAATAATTATTAATAATTTAAATAATTTAATAATTATTTTATTTTTAATAAAAATAAAAAATTTTAAATTTAAATCATATAATATATGAGAATAAAGTGATACACAAAAGAGAGTGTATTATTTCATATAAATAATAATTAGAAAGTTAATATCAATTAATTGTTAATAACTGATTTTTAAATTGAATGAATATTTTACCTCTTTAAATGAGACATACGATCATCAATTATTTTTTAATAAAATTCACGACAATAATAGAGTTCAAAATCACGTTCAAGTTGTTTAAGGGAAGTCGATATCAACCATAGGCTAGCTTTTGATGAAAAGTCATAACCTGTCCATAGAACACGTGGCACGCAACGGCCACCTCAGTTCATCATCGATAACGTAAAAATCCCGAAGGCATGTTCAAATTCCAGCAGATCCCAACGGTCGAACTCCTCTGCCTCAGTTCCAATCGCAGCCGTCCGATCTTCAATCTTTTCTCTGCCTCACATTTAAGTACACCCGACAGAAGCAAACATCAGTACTTTCTCTCTCTAAAAAAATCCTTCTTCCTTCCCCTCTCCATAAACACACTAAAATATTGGTTTTTTTTTTCTCTTTTTTCTTTTTCTGAATGAAAACTCTGGGTCTGTGAGGACCTGACACAACGCCTTCTGTACGAGAGAGATTGGAAGATGGGGTTTGATTTTTGAATGTGATTGTTTTTTCTCTCCCTCTCTCTCTCTCTTCCTCTGTCTGGTTCTGTTAAAGCTTGTATTTTTTTCAACTGGGATTTCAAATTTGGGATCTTTTTTATGGTTTATGATGTCTAAGGTTATTTCCATATTTTTAATGATTTTTGACCGTTTAGTCTGTAGGAAACAAGGGATGGTTTATGGGCATTTCTGATTCTTGGGATGAAAGCGTTTTTTGGGCTAATCTTAGAAGTATCGCTGCTTTGCAAACTTCCTCTTTGGAGAGAGTGATTCTTAGAAGCATTTTCTGGGTTAGTATTGCGACTAGTTTGTAGATAAAGCTATGGTGTGTTGCTTTCTAGAGAAAAAAGGGATAGCTTCAAGTGTTTTTGGCTTAAAGGTTGGTCCTTTAGCTTGTTTTTTCATTTTTCTTTTATCCGTACTCAGATTGAAAAAAGTAAAAGTGGATTTTGTTGTAGTTTCTTTACTCTTTTCTTCAATTGTTTCGCTTTCTCTCCTTGTTTGTTTTCATTCATTGCTTCCTCTCTTACCCATGTTTGCAGTTGCAAAGAGGGACTGTTTGGTGGATGTAAATGGTGGAGTACATTGAATGCCAAGGGAAATCAAAGCAATTTGAGGTATTCTTATTTTCATATAAATGTTTAGTGGGGTTGGTATATCCAGCCATCCATGAGAATGTAAAGACACTCTACATTTACACTACTGTGGATAGCGATTCGTAGCTTCTCTTCAAAGGGAAGAATCTCCTCCGTCTCATACTAGCTTTCTTCCTAGCTCTATTTATGTGGTAAAAGGGGCAATCCATATGACAATCCAACTTTTTTTTTTTTCCTGCTTCCTCAGAAAAATTCGACCAATATCCGATCAAAGAACAGTATCAAATCTTAAACCACCAATTTCATGGTTGAAAAGTAAAGTTGTCTTCTTTCTTTGTCCCATTACTAATATACCCCTCAAAATTGCTTAATTACTCTTTACTGCTTCATCTGCAGAAGGGTGTTTTGATATTTCTAAGAAAAACCGGTGGTCGTTGGATTCTTAATTGGACGCGATTTCTAGCCGTTAAAGGCAGCTTCTTTCATTTTCAGCGATGAAAATTTAAAGGTGTTTAGTGCATAGTCAGTAGTCATGATGACCATTTTTTTTTAAGAAGATGATTTTAGTTGGCGTTTAATGATCACTTGAGAGAGAAAAAGGGAAAGGACTCGTGGGGGCATCTTTAGGTACTAACGTTTTTGGGTTGGTTCTTGTCTTCGTCAAACAAGCTTTGTGTAATCACTGAAGCTCTTTGATGTTGGCCTACTTGTTAGTATTGTTTATTTATGTAATGAATTTAATTGCATTCTTAATTATATAATTTATATCCTTTATGATTGCAACTGCTCCAGTACTTTCTCATTTTTCTATCCAAACTATCATCTTCACATTAATTGTATGTTTTCCGCATCTAGGTCATCTCTTGAGGTTCTGGTTTCTCTGAATTTCAAATCCGTCAGTACTGCGCTGGTGATCAATCTGATCAATAGACGTATCTTAAATCATGGTGGAAGAAGGTTCAAATCAGGTTTTGGCTGATCCTTGGTCAGCAGAAGAATGGTCATCGCATGCTCAAGAGCTTGTTCTAGAGGCACTGGAACTGGCCAGAAAGGTGACGGGGTTCCCTGGTAGATGGAAGATGATAATTGGCAAGTTGGAGCAGATCCCATCATGCTTATCGGACTTGTCAAGCCATCCTTGTTTCTCCAAGAATGCACTGTGTAAGGAGCAGTTGCAGGCAGTGTCAAAGACGTTGCAAGAAGCAACTGAATTGGCTGAATTGTGTGTGAAGGAAAAGTATGAGGGGAAGCTCCAGATGCAGAGTGATCTTGATGCATTGTCTGGGAAGTTGGATTTGAATTTGCGGGATTGCAGATTATTGGTCAAGACTGGGGTCCTAGGGGAGGCCACTTTGCCTCTATCCATGGCTGGATCTACAGCAGAACCGGAAATTTCAATGCATAGTCATATAAAGGAATTGCTTGCACGGCTTCAGATCGGTCACCTGGAGTCAAAGCACAAAGCACTTGACAGTCTTGTGGAGGTCATGAAGGAGGATGAAAAGAATGTCTTGTCAGGTTTGGGGCGGAGCAACATTGCAGCTCTAGTCCAATTGTTAACAGCTACTTCTCCCTGTATCCGGGAAAAGACCGTGGCTGTAATCTGTTCACTTGCTGAATCTGGTAGTTGTGAGAATTGGCTTGTCTCTGAAGGTGTTTTGCCACCTCTCATAAGGCTCGTTGAATCTGGCAGTCCAGTTGGTAAAGAGAAGGCTACAATTTCATTGCAGAGATTATCAATGTCTACTGAAACAGCCAGAGCTATTGTTGGGCATGGTGGGGTTCGACCATTGATTGAGATCTGTCAAACAGGGGACTCTGTTTCTCAGGCTGCAGCTGCCTGTACATTGAAAAATATATCAGCTGTTCCTGAGGTTAGACAAAAACTAGCCGAAGAAGGAATCATAAGGGTTATGATCAATCTCCTTGATTGTGGAATTTTGTTGGGTTCTAAAGAATATGCAGCAGAATGCTTGCAGAATCTCACTGCAAGCAATGAGAATCTAAGAAGATCTGTCATCTCAGAAGGGGGAATTCGAAGCCTCTTGGCATACCTTGACGGTCCTTTGCCCCAAGAATCCCCAGTTGCAGCCTTGAGGAATTTGGTTGGCTCTGTTTCCATGGAAGTATTGATTTCTCTTGGTTTCCTCCCCCGCCTGGTTCATGTTCTGAAATCAGGATCCCTTGGTGCACAACAAGCTGCAGCATCAGCCATCTGCAAGGTTTGCAGTTCCACAGAAATGAAGAAATTGGTTGGTGAAGCTGGGTGCATTCCTCTACTCATCCAATTGCTTGAGTCTAAATCAAACAGTGTTCGAGAAGTTGTTGCTCAAGCCATTTCAAGTTTGGTGACTCTCTCCCACAATTGCAGAGAAGTAAAGAGGGATGACAAAAGTGTACCAAACCTGGTCCAATTGCTGGAACCAAGCCCTCAAAATACTGCAAAGAAATACGCGGTTCCCTGCCTCTCATCCCTCTCTTCAAGCAAGAAATGTAAGAAACTCATGATCTCATATGGGGCAATCGGATATCTGAAAAAGCTCTCAGAGATGGACATCCACGGTGCCAAAAAGCTACTCGAGCGGTTGGAAAGAGGGAGGCTAAGAAGTTTGTTTCGCAGGAGGTAAAGGGAAAGATAAAAAGCCAACCTTTCCTTCTGTTTCTTTTCCCTCCCATCCCTTGTTCATTTTATGTAATGTACTAATGTATGCTCTCTCCCTTTTTTCTTATTTTTGCCAATGTAATCTATATGATCAATGGTTTAATAATTTATTAGCCTATTTATATGTATGTAAAATTATCCAATTTTGTTTCTTCGCTTGATTAAAAAAAAAAAAAAATCCCCTCACTGTATTTTCTAACTGAATATTTGTTCTTGGTTGCCAGAAATTTAAATCCAATCGAATAAATGAAAACAATTGAATAGATGAGTACCAAAATATTAAAAAGAAATCTTGTCCATCTGGGAGTTGCGTCAAGGAAGTTGAGACCTTTAATGGTGGAGATCTGAAATTGAGGATTGGCTCAGACTTAGATCAACGTCCATGAGTTGATCCTACGTTATGACAAATGGAAGTTTGTTTGTTTGTAATGGGAGAAAATTAGAGGACCAAACACGCCCTTATCAAAATCAGGGATAGAGAAACCAGAACAGGACAGAGAGTGCTGACGCTTCACACTTCACAGCTTCAGCGACTCTGATATTGATACAGCCGAAAAAGAGAAAAAGAAATAAGGGGTAGATAAAAAGTTTGTGGATTTCGAGGCTAAGTCATCGTGTACCTCCTTCGGTACTGCTCTTTCCTTCTAGTCTTGTTTCTTTGATGTTGGTTTTCTTGCTGTTTCCACCAACTATCTTTCCTATTGTTAACATGATGTTTCTTGGTATTGTTTTGGTCGTTAATCGTTTTCTTTGGAGGATTATGATGGATATTCAAGTTTCCGTCTTGATTTTTGTTCTAGTTAAATTTTGGGTCTGAATCTGATTGATTTGGGTATTTATGGTTTGATTTATTTGCTGATTTGGAGTATATAATTTCTTCATGGTGAAATAGTCTGCTTGGTTGCTGGGACAGTAGAGGGGAAAGGGAGGACGAAAGATATAATTTTTTTTAGTTTCGTATCATTGTACATAGCTAGAAGAAAGCTCAGCTAATGAAATTCAGAAGGATTTACTATAATTAGCTGGTTATATTATAACAATATTGTCTTTAATTTGTTTGATATAATCCAGACTCCTTTTTCGTTTCCATTAAACCGCAAAACGCAGTTTATGTTACTACATGTGTTTTCATCAGGGTGCCCACTCGCAGTAGGTTTCTTATGTTGGCAAATTATGGTAGTTTTGGTATATGGCTTTGACTTCATTTTTCGCACATAATGTTTCAGCATGAGCAGATAGCTTATTTCTCGTAGAATCCTATGAGCTCAAATAATAAGTGGTTACTGTGATCTTTCAGGTGCATTTGTTTGGGATAAAAGATGCGTACCTTGGATGTAAGCAGAGCCGAACTTGCTCTTATAGTTTTGTATCTGAACAAGGCTGAAGCAAGGGATAAGATATGCAGGACTATACAATATGGTTCGAAGTTCATAAGCGATGGGAAGCCTGGCACAGCCCAAAATGTTGACAAATCAACCAGCTTGGCAAGGAAAGTTTTCCGACTTTTTAAGGTCAGGTTACATCTTGTGTTGCAAATGATATCCTAGATATGACCTTACATATTTTGTTTTAATGCTTTATGTTATTAATTTGCAGTTTGTCAATGATTTACATGCTCTTATTAGCCCAGTTCCTCATGGAACTCCCCTTCCACTTGCTCTGCTGGGAAAGGTATGGCTGTACTGCAGAGAAATGTTTTCCTGTAATTCTTCTCCTTTTGACTTTTGATTGATTCCTGTTTTGTGTTTAATTCAATAATTCTTCTTTCAGTCAAAGAATGCCCTATTATCAACTTTCTTATTCCTGGATCAAATTGTTTGGCTTGGCAGAACAGGTATCTATCAGGTATGCAATTTAGTTTATTATTATTTGATTTTATATAATTTGTGGTTGGATTCTGTGAGAAATGTTAACCATGAAAAACAACCATGTTTTATTTTTACAGAACAAAGAACGTGCTGAACTGATTGGGCAGATATCTCTTTTCTGTTGGATGGGTTTCCTCAGTTTGCTGCAACCTGGTTGAGGTTTGTTGCTTGTTATTAGTTCTGTCAATTTCTTTCCAGCAACAATTGTTTTCCGATTTAATTCTTCATAAGCTTCAGATCTTTAAATTATATGTCCTTAAATCAGCTTGGAGAACTTGGGAGGCTTTCTGCATCAATGAAGAAGCTGGAGAAGAAGATAACGAATGGTGATAAGTACCAAGTATGTTTAACGTGTTTATTTTTCTGCAGCCATAGCTGGTCTTCTCCTATTTAAATTTCAATATTATATTCTTCCCTAATCTATTGTCATTCTATGAATGCAGAATGAGCAATACCGTACCAAACTCCAAAAGTCAAATGAGAGTTCTCTAGCACTGATTAAAGCAGGCATGGATATAGTTGTGGCAGTAGGGCTCCTTCAACTGGCACCCAAGAAAGTTAATCCTCGTGTCACAGGGGCCTTTGGATTTGCTTCTTCCCTCATCTCTTGTTACCAGGTATCCAGTTCTATCCCTTTAATCTGTATATACTGGCATATAAATTATCTTTTGAACTGGGTGATTGGTTGTTAGCATTAAAAGAAAACATATATATTGTCTTAGTGTTATATTAGGGAAAAGGTGTCACACAAATTGATTACAAAGCAAGCTGTCTATTTCTTTTTGTTCAAAGATGAAAATATGGGTTTTAAGTTCATTTAATGACCATGAAGTGTTTAACCCCATTGCATTAATTGAGATGATGAAGCATGGGATGACATGTTCTAGTTCTAGATCCTAAGTATTATTCATATATTGACAAATGTTAATCTTCCTATTTTTCTTGATGGGAGTCCATACACACCTTTTGGATTTTATCTTGTGGGCATTCTGATTTTGAATGCTGATCTGTTGACGAGATTTTGCTGTGTGTTTGCAGTTGCTTCCTTCTCGACCAAAGTCCAAGACGCCATGAACCCGTTTATGTTTTACTCAATATGCTTCATTGTCAGGTTAAACAATCCACTTGAACTTTATGTGTTAGGGTGCAAACTGGTGTAAAGTTGGGAAAATAATCCAACTTCTTGGGTTATGATGAAATTTCCTTAAAAGAGTAATGATACATCATACTATTATTTGTTACATCATACTGTCATTTGTTAGTTTATAAATTTGAGACAGTTTTTAGTAGTTTATGTTGTTGTTTTGCTTGGGACTAAAATTTTGCAATTTATGGTGTAAACAGTTGTATAGGAAACAGGTGAAGCAGTGACGCTTTTGTGCAGTGTTTTTGGAGCCGGCTCGGCCCGGCCGGTTGAACCGGTTGAACCGGATCCGGGCTTTAAAACGGGCCGAGCCAATACCTTAACCCGTTTTACAAGTTCACCCGTTTTGACCCGCTGGTGCCCACTCAACCCGCTGAAACTGCCTAACCCGTCTAACCCGCCGGGCTAAATGAATTTAAGTTTTTACTTTTTAATGAGTTAATACTAATTAAATTAATTTATTTAATTTTTAACATAATTAGTTAATTACCCACACCATTAACTTTAATTAAAAATAAAAATCGCAACAAATTGCAAAAGCAAACCCAAGAGAAATTAAAAACAAAAGAAAGCAGGGGAAGAACAGCACCACCGGACCACCACCAGTACCACGCACCAGTCACCACCACCGGCCTTTCCGTACCCGATCTCAGCCAAAAATCGCGAACCTGCTGCTCGCTCGTGGCCTCCGTCTGCGGCTTCCGATCCTTTGTCTCTGCAGAAGCAAAACCAGAAAGCAAGTCCTTCATCTCTGTGCAGAAGAGCCAAAAAGCAGAAAGAAAACAGAGCAGCGAAGTCACCGGCGACCAATTGCCTACCCAATCTCAGCCATCGACGACTCCACAACTGCCTCCTCGTATCTCAGCCAGAAATCGGGAACCTGCTGCTCGCACGTGGCCTCCGTCTGCGGCTTCCAGTCCTTTGTCTCTGCAAAAGCAAAACCAGAACGCACGCCCTTCATCTCTGTGCAGAAGCAACCAGAAAGTAAAAAGAAAACAGAGCAGCGAAGTCACCGACGGCCAACTACATCCCCAATCTCAGCTGTCGGCGACTCCACAACTGCCTTCCCGGATCTCAGCCTTTCGCCGCTGCCTTTCCTCTTCTTCTTCCACTGACAGAATAGATTTTCATTTGCATTTGCCTTTGCCTCGGGTGTAAAAATGTAAAAGAAAAAAAGGTTTTTAGTCAACCGGTTGAACCGATCGAGTGAACTGGTTTAATCGGTTGAACCAGACCCGGTGCCCAAAACGGGTCAACCACCGGACCGGGTACAAAAACATTGCTTTTGTGTGATTGTAATCATTTTCCTTACAATCGATTCTGTTTCAGCGTTCAAAGATCAAAATTATTAATGGTATGAACCAGGAAGCTTCTATTAAGTCTACTCCAAACCCCAAAGTCATATACAGGAAAAGATAAAAGTACATCCCGCATATCACTGCCTAGAAGAATGCTCAAATGGTAGTTTCATGTTTGCGATGGTACTGCCTAAATATTTAGGCAATGCTAGCATTAAAGCCAAAGACAAGATCTTAAGGCAAGTTTATTTTATAAGATGGGATTACAAAAGCTCTTCATCTGATTCCTCATCACCATCTTCATCCTCCCATTCATGTTCCACAAGGTCAACTACATTACCCCGCAGTATATTCAAAATCTGTTGAATGCTTAGTAATCGTCTACGCAATCTCTCTGCTTCTTGGCTGGTTTCCCGAGGCTCTGGCTGTGGTTGCGTGTAACTGAAAGCCTTCAACACAAAATTTTCTGAGGGCTCGAGGATTTCAACTCCAAAAGCTGGAGATAATGGGCGTCCAACAACCTGAACGTGTGCCACACTGAAATACAGCAGTAAATTGCATGAGTTGAAAAGGTTACCATATGTTAAACCATGGTCTATACAATCTGCACTTTCCATTTTTCTCAGACAAAACGATTCAATAAATATTAGCCCAAATCCAAAAGACTTGACAGTGCAGAAAAATTTGGCAACAAGGACCACAAAGATGATAAGATGACTAATCCAATACCCCCCCCCCCCCCCCACCCCCAAACAAAACCAAAAATCCCCACCTGAAAAGATTAAAAAAAATTGAAACTAGAGGATTCGTCCATGTGTATGGTAAAATAAACCTATCTATATCAGGTAAGAAAGAGATTCAAAAATCTCATGGTGCATCTGGCCCCTAGAAGTTTAAACCACTGATCAAAAAAGGTGAAGTTTAAATAAGTCCACTATTGAATATGTATGACTGACATTCTATAACCTATGAAAAGGAATGGACATGACAATACCATATGTAGAATAAACCATCCATTTGTTGTGTTTGGACTCTACCCTGCAGCTCAATCTGCAATATTCCACCAATGCAAAGAACAGGTTCTGGAAGCTTAAAGCTCTGCAAACAATCTTCCTGTCAATGGATATAGCTATTAGTACTATCACTGCTTCTGAGAGACTTTATCTTTTTGTGAATCAAAAACAAGGGAAAAGAATAATTTCAGGAAAAATGAAACTTAAACTGATAGCACCAAACCACACCAACCCAAAAAAAAAAATAGTGCCAACCACAAAAGGCACCATTTACTACTTACTGAGAAATAATAATCAATTGCAGTCAGTACTAGCTGAAATAATATTTAATTATATTACTGTTCATCTTTATTGCAAAACAAGTAGATGATATCAATTAGGAGCCATGAGAAAAATCAATTGAGCTACTTGAACCCACTTGAGCCATTGGAAACTCTTGTGAAGTGTAAGTCCATACAAACTTGTTACCAACAGAATTCAGGCATGACTCATCCATAAGATCATCAATGTAGGTTTTGAGATGACCCATTCGGAATCGAACAGATTTTGCAGAATATATTGGGAGGCCCCACTGGAAATAAGCTGGACCCAAAATGTATAAGGGAAAATTTACAAGGTGGACATTAAAAAGGGTGAAAGAGTATCTAAACGGTCAAAAGTTTGGAACACATACCTCTGAAAGGTTTTATTCTGATTTCAGTAACAACACACAAATCAGCCACCAATTTGTAAGTTAGTGTTTCAGGGACTGCAGGATTACTGTATCCTTTACTTGACCAGTATGAAGCTCTCCCTCCCACCGTATCATTCTTCTCCAGAGTATTATCTATTCTTTCCTGTGGAAAATGATCAGTACTGGAAGCAATGATGGCTTCTGAGATGCACTTCTCTTCTTCAGGAAATGACATAAAACCTCGACCCAAAAAGGCAAAAGTTCTGTGCTCCTTCTTCAAAGTTTCCCATTCTATGTTACTAGATCCAACTGCCAAAAGGCTTTTCGCCATGGAGGCTGGCTCAACCACATGATCAACTCTAGATAACTGAGGAAACTTCCTCAAGCACAGATGCTTGGCAAGACCATTAGCTATCACTGGAAATTCCATGAAAGAGCAAACAAAAAATCAATACCTACCATTTTGCTTATGACCTGTTACCTTCTTTGATAAGTGAAAATGGCACAACAAAGTACAAGCTACAGTGTTACCCCACCCAGAATTTTATTGACTCATCAATCATACTTCTAGACAACATATTCCCAAAATATTTAGAACAGGCTACAATTCAGTCCCTTTATCATGTATACATCTGCAGTTGTTAATAACTCACCAAAATCTCGCCAAGAGCGGGAGACACAGCTAACACGAGCAATATCAGACGGATCATCCAAACATGTGAAAATCTTCACCGACATGTCATAACCGAGGTAACTGAGAAAATCTAAACCAGATCCCATTTGACCGAACTGCCGATCAACTCAGCAGTTCTTCTCAACTTCAATTCCTGATTTAGCACTGCAAAACACACTGTATCAATAAATATATATCAGAACAACTAATAAAATTGTATTAATCTTTTCCTGAACTACAATCAGAAGTGGCAATTCTGATAAAACGATTATGATGCAAAACAACGAAAGAATTTACATTTTTTCACTGATTTTCAATAACAATTAAAGAGAGAAAAAAAAAAAAGAAAAAAGAGAGTGGCTTAAAAGAAGACAGTATCAACAGAGCGCAAGCATGAATCTTTCTACCGACAAATGAAAACTGAGAGCTTTAGATTGCCAAAATTCAAACATAAATGCAGCAATCAAATTCAATCAATTGCGCAGAGATGAACGCAACCGATTGTGTAATGGGGATGGAACAAAAAAAGGGAAGAAGGTGGGGGGGGGGGGAATTGGAAAAAAGCAAAGACAAAGAGAATAGAGAGTTGTAGGGAAATGAAGTAGAGTGGAAAATGAGAATGGGAAGGAGTGGAAGTTGGGAAAAACTTCACCTTTGTAGAAGAAGAGAAGGCAAACCCTAGAAGAAAGACGGTTGACAGAATCAACCAATAAAGTAGGTGAAGATGGAGATAGATAAGGCTAGTAACAGAGACGTCGAGGACCTCAAGCTAAGCTACTGTAATTTTCACAATTTCTTTATGGCGTGTTTGCTTGGTTCAAACTCATATTTAATTC